AACAAGGACTTTATTTTCCTGACGTTTCGAATTCCCTCGGGAATCCTTAATCCTTAATCCTCTATAGAGTTGATAGTTTAGCAGGAAAATAAAACTGCAGGAACACTGTGTTCTCAGTCTTCCTTGAGTGTAATGATTTCGAGATTTTGCACCAGCGCAAAGTTTGTTGGCGAACAGTAGCTCGCTGTTTGCTAGGGCATTAGTCAATTGCGGGCCGCCGATTAAGCATCATTATCCTCATCATGAGACCTGGCAGGGTTGAAAGTCCACTAACGCCATCAGAGGGGATAAGAGCTTCCCCCGAGTCAGCACCCAAAATTCGTAAAAGTTGTCCTGAATGTAGAAAACTAGTGACAGCTCTCTTAAACAAAGGATAGCCTCGCTGAGTTGTAATACCTCTGGGTAGCTTATTCCTATTGCCATGGCAGATAAAACCACCGTAGCTGCTGCAACAAACGTTGTCTGGCGTAAGTGGTAGCAAAAGGACCGAAGAAAATGCTGATGAAGTCGCTTCAGTCAGTGAATCATTTGTCAGGTTTTGGTACTAGATCCGATAACCTCGCTATGCCTGTTTTCTCTTTTGTCCGTAAACGTGTTTCGCACTAGTGCTTGAGAAAGTATCTGTAACTGAGATTGGCATCGACATGATTAACTAAACAATCTTCGGTATGAAATGTATATGTCGAAGGCAATTTTTGCTCGTCATCGCATGATTGTGTCGAATGTCTGGGCAGTTTCACGTTTTGCCATTAAATCATGTGGATAATTAGCTCACCTACGTGTCTGGGGTAGACTATGAACACTATCCTATATGGGTTGGTATTAGGGATACGTATATATCTTGCTTATAATCCTAAAAGACGTCATTTTATTCGCCCTTTTAATCCTAACTGCACAATCATCTATGCTGATCTAAAACTCTCCTTTTCTTTACAGTCTTACTTCACACCTTTCGCCTGTTCAAGTTCTACTACTTCTTCTCAAACCTGGGACCGAAGCTTGCCATGATAGAACGCATGCTTAAGGAGACGCTGGAGTTTCTGGCCTTCCTTCTACTGTTTATATTTGCCGCTGGCATTGCAATGGAAGCCCTGCTGTACCTCAATCGAACAACTTTTAACTATGAAGTCCTGCAAGACATTTTCTCAGTTCAGTACTACCGGTTGTTCGGGGAAAACAATCTGGAGTTAGCAGAAGGTAAGAGGCATCACAATTAACTATTTACATGAAGTATGCGGTGAGTGGCATCGAGGCGAGGTTGCTGAATTAACGGCCTGAAAAGTGCAATACGTTTATATAGCCATGAATGAATGTTTTTGCGGTAAATGTTCTAAGAGTTCAAAACTGTAGAATGGACGTTATACGGTTACTAGAAGGCCCCTTGCTATTCTTTCTGAAGTATCTAGAAATAAAATTAGAAGCTCAAGATACGCTCATCCAGGAAAGATAAATATTTTTGTCTGAAAAGGGAAAGTAATTTCCGAGTTCAACTTAGTATAGGTGACCAGGCAGGTTCAAGGGAAGCACAACTCCGTGAAACCGGATAATGAACTTGTCAAGCGTCAGGCTCCTTGTCAAATTTGTCTTGTGAGAGATCTGTGTTTAGCAAAGCAAGCACCACCAAAACAATTGTCTTCACGTGTTCTTGTTGAGGCAAGTACGTTCAAAAACTCAAAGATTATTTTGCTGGAAAAGACATGGGGGGAGACAGAAATGGCAACGCTGGCGTATTGGCCGTCGGCAGCCAGTTATACCCAGATTAAACTGGCGTCCCATCTGAGGCTCGAACTCACGACTTTTTTGATCAGAGTCTAATGACTGAGGCACAAGCTGGTTGTCTGGCCAGTTTAGGTCGGGGGATAGTGACACTCGTTGACTAACTTTCATTGATCGCTACCGGAACTCACTTCCTCCTCTCTGCCTCGAGCCTCTTTCTCGGACTCATAGGCCGTTGTCAGCCGGTCAGTGGGCTAGACAATGATGTGGCAGCCAAAACGGTTAGAATGTCAGACTTCTGATCAAAAGGTTGCACAGTGAAACGAATGCAAGTAAGTTTACCGATGATACCCCATGTCAGCAATCAGGAGGTTGGACCAACGAACGTTTTCGATTAATTCATCATCAGACAATACAATGATATAAGGGAGAGTAGATTTAGCGAAAGTTCAAGCAACCAAACAGTAGTAATCAGTGGATAAGGGTATGGAGTTGTAAAGGGATAAAATGGGTCAGATTCTAGTTTTAATTTAGGACCAGATAGGGGAAAGGGTGGGGAAGGAGGGTAGGAGAAGGGGTTCAACATTTAGTTAGCGTCGCCCCGTCGTCCGTGGCTCACATTTTGTTGGGAGGTGTAAAGACGCAAGTTGTCATCGTCTCGTGACGGTGTGGGTGGCCTGGGGATGCTTGCTATCGCAGCCTCGTCAGTGTTTCGCGGTGGATTAGGAAGCGTGTTGGCGAATGTTCAGTTGGTATTCGGGCACGGGAGCCTTAGGGTCGCTGCAAACGCCTTTTGCGCGTTCGCTCGCTTAAATTTACTTCTAAATGCTTGCATGGCAATAATCGCTGAACATGCGAAATTTTTAATAAGGCATGTTGGGGGCTTTTAAGCCACTTGTTGATTTATGCTCGCGATTGCTGTCGGGGCCTCGTCACTGTTTCGCGGCGTGGTACGAAACGTGGGGGCAGATGTTGAATTAGCCTTCGGTCACGGCAGCTTTAGGGCCACTACAAACGCCTTCTGAGCGCATAACATTAGGTAAGTGAGGCGTATGGCGGCTGCCTCTGCCGTCGCGGGAACTTTAAATGCTTCGCTGGCACTTTATAGATGACCCGAAACGCTTGGTTGATGTCTACCCGATTACTGGTGTCAACTTAGTTAAACAAACTGGCGCTTGATATAGACTTTACTTCGCCCCTGCTTAACCAAGCAAAATTTTGTTTTTGTATGCGTTCGATTAGCCGCCTAGTCGTTCAACCAATATAACCTGCCCCACAGGAGCATGCAAAATTGTAGATACACATTGAAGAAGTGTGGAACAGAAGTCTGTTCTGGCTTTTAAGGCAAATAAATGGTGTGCTTGAGAAAAATAATCTAAATAAAGCTGCTGAATTAGTACGCGCGATTGCAGCGTTCAAGCGAAGCTGTAGAGGTTCGTCTGCTTGATTCCCTGGAAAAGGTCATGTAAGAAATATCATTTTCTTCTCAGCCGCCGGCACTTCTGATTTTGGTGGACGTTCCTTCATAAACTTATTGATGAACTTCTCAGGAAAGTCATTCTCTTGTAAGGTGTTTGTAATAAGTGCGAGTTCGGCCTCCAGTGTCTCTTGAGAACATATTCTCCCAGCTCGGTTTGTGAGGCTGCGGACCAGGCCTCGTTTCTGACATAGCGGCACAACACTGTATAAATTAATGTACTGCCCCGTCCACGTTTTCTTGCGAAATACACTTCTACTTATTGCTTCATCAGACTGTCGACTAAGAAGGACTTCCAAAAAAGGGGGGCACCGTCTGTCCTCTTTTTCCAAACTGAAGGTTAAGGCTGAGTGCACCTGATTCACTTTATCTAAGAAATTGTCAAACTCAAGTCCTCCATCTGCTATTACAAATACATCATCCACTTGTCGAGCATAGGAAGGAAGGTCCTTTATAATGGGAAAAGTTTGTTGCTCTCCAGTTTTCCCATGAAGGCATTGCATTGCCTGATGATGAATTAATGCAATTAACATAAAAAAAATGAGGGAAATGATAAGATAAACGTCTAGGCCGATTTGGAATCAGCGAATAGATGAATATGCAAATAAACTAGGCTATGATTTCTGCGAACAAATTGTGTTCTATGAAAACTATAAGTTTTAGTTGACGATACAAGATCTAATGCTTGTTTGAGAATTGATGGGACAGTATGCTCTTTCATTTGCAAAGACGAATGGAGGACAAAACCTGGGCATACTATTGAGTTTTTCATGTACGAGTAGCTATTGCATGATGTAAAGTTTATTTCAAAATATCAACACCTACCCTTGCGGTAGATAGGAAACTTCTTCGTCTGATATAGTTGCCCGAATTTGGCGCCAAATGCAGCCCATGTATGCAATTGGTAAGCACAGTTCACACCACAATTCAGCTGCATCAATCAGGACTTTGATGAGTGCCCAGTGATCTCACAGTCATGAGCAACGCTGCCCGTTTTTGAGGGTTGGTTGGGTTTTCCATATAAAGTGTAAACGTTGTGATTTTTACTTTCATTTTTGCCTTGTTCTACTTAAAGTTCTTTTCCTGACTGCCCGGACTGGCTTTGTCAAAATTCTCTCCTTAGGTAAAAAGGGAGGTTGCACCGTACAAGACGGAATTCAGTGTCCCGTCAGCAACCCTCTCGTGCCTTGGATACTTAACGTCTTCCTATTAATCACAGTAACTATACTGATGAATCTACTGATCGCTATTTTCAGGTGAGTGTCTCCTCCTAGCTTTTTGGCGCAAATACACTGTACTTGGAGCCTGCTA